TCTCTCTCTCTCTCTCTCTCTCTCTCTCTCTCTCTCTCTCTCTCTCTCTCGTGTATCCTTGCCAATTAGAAACAGGGCAGCCGAATGTAGCAGCAGCGAATAACAAGGAAGAAGAAGAATAAAAGAAGGAAGAAGAAGAAGGGTAGTCCGTCGCCGTGCAATTTCCTCGTTGTTGGTATTATCTCGTAATTAGTAACGTCGAATTCAAGGTGATTACGTGGACATCTAACGTATGGTTATAGTCATAGGTTTGAATCTTACGTTCGTAGAATCATTACGGTTGATCTATTTGCACTTTACGTGAATTATACCTTGTTTATGTCATTTACAGTTTGTGAAGCATAATTTAGTCTAGAATTTCTTAAGAGCCTGTTAGATAATGTTTGATTATCAATTTAGAATCTGTTAAGGCTTGTTCTTTTGAGTTTAATGTTGTTTTGATGGGTAAAAGCGGAGCTAGTGCAAGTCTGGGTTTCGCCACGTCATACGGTAGGTGGGTACCGTCGGCACAGTACCAGCTACCGCCACCTGCCTTGTTTTTCCTTCGCTCTGTCGTTACCTGTCACTAAACGGTACCTAGGTACTAGGTGGACGATAGGCCATACCGCCAGGTTGGTAGAGGCTACTGTGACAGCCAAGGGTACTGTCTGATGCCTGAACCGGTGCTAATCTACTGTGACGGCCAAGGGTACCCATGACAGTAAACATGGGTGTCAACACCCAGTGTTAGGCCCCGGTTTGAGCATGTTAAACGTGGTGATTGATAATTGTTTGATGTAAGAACATTATATTATGTATTGCTATTGGATAAAGGATGAATCACATAGAATAAACTCTAGGAACTGACCGGAATGGATTAGTGGCAAGGTATGCCATAAGTTAGTAAGTTAGAACCATGTGGTACGTGCTGGGTCTAATGGTTGTTTGGGTAAAAATGTGTACACGGGGATCTAAGAACTATCGTTCCAAAGGGGACAGGTATCTCACCTACCCAACAAGGAACTCCCGAGTTGGTTTGAGCTTGACCTTTGTTCCGAAGGGGAAGGTCATGTCTCCCATAGGCAAGTCGAATACAGTTAAGCTTTAACCTAGCATAGGTTAAGAGCCAAGTACGAAAAGAAAGTAAAGTTAGTTAAATAGGAAAGGAACTTGATATTGTATCATTATTCTTGTATCTCATGAACGATGATGCTATTTATTATGCATGATATATCCTGTATACTGTTATGATTGTTGCTAAGCATGTTACGTGCATGATATCGTATGATGATATGGGCTAGTGGGATCATCTATGGGTATAGCTGTATGTTAGATATTTCTCACTTAGCCTCAATGTTGAGCGTGTAGCATTTGTTCCCTTGCTACACGTAGATAATCCAGGGAATGAAGAACTTAGAGCCAATCCTGGAGGGCGATGAGGATGCTGAGATGTGCGTGGCAGTACTCGACGATTTTGAATTATTACTTATTAATTAAATTAACTTGTTACTATTTCGGGCATGAATCCCAAGCTGTGTTTTGAATTAATAATTAAGCTTCCACAACTATTTTGAATATTACTCTGATTGAATGTTAAGCTATGAGTTGAAATGCTTATTTGCTTTGTTTTGAAAAGTCAAGTAGTGTTTGGATACCAATTTAGTAGCAACCCGGTTCGCTGATCTGAGTATTCGGGTTATGCGGGTTGGGGTGTTACAATTATTATGATTATAATTATCATTACTATTATTATTATTACCATTATAATTATTTCTGTTAATATTGATATTATTTTTACGATTACTATTACTATTACTATGATTATTATTATCATATTCATTATTACTATAATTATTACTATTATTGTTATTAATATTACTATTTTTATTATTATTCTTACTATTAGTATTCTGATTATACTACGTAGTATTATTATTTTTATTATTATTACTATATTTATTACTATTACTATTAATAATAATAATATAACTATTATTATTACTATTATTACTATCACTAATATTATTATTACTCCCTTCGTCCATAAATAAAGTTTGCGTTGCGCATTACGATGTTTGACTGAAGTTATTTTCAAATCATTTTTTAGGAAAAATGGTATGAAATTTAAAACAACAACAACAACAACAACCCAGTTGAATCCCACAACAGTAGGGTCTGGGGAGGGTGTGTGTACGCAGACCTTGCCCCTACTCGGAAATAAAAATTAAATTTTTAAAAACTTTATGAAACGATCTACAAAACTAGAGATCACATGACTATATTATTTTATCAAATAGGACACGAAAATAGGCCAACAAAGTGAATAAAGTTTTTATTGTTGGACAGAGGAAGTATTACTTTTATTATTATTATTATTATTTCTATTATTGATATTACCATTATTATTATTTCTATTATTATTACTATTATTATTAATATTTCTATTATTATTACTATTATTATAACTATAATAATAATTTTAATTTAAATCGAATGTATATCACATCCGATGAGACCAGATCAGATCAGATGAGACCAGACCAAATCATTCACCTAGGGCTTATGTCTGAGATGCGGGAAGGAGGGACACTTCCGTAAGGACTGTCCTACTAATTTAGGATGTGCTTTCCCCATCACGGAGGTTCAGACACAGACGGCCGGGCAGAGACCGGCACAGAGTCAAAGATCAACTGCGGGCTCAAACCTGGCAAGAGGACAGAATTAGAGTCAGAACCAGAATCGTCCGCAGGGACGTACTCCCGCATGCACCTATGCCATACAGGGGTGGACTGAAGTGAATCCCGACATCATCCTAGGTATGTTTTCATTATTCCATACTCCTCTGCTGGCACTAATTGATCCAGGATCTACATTATCTTACATTTACGTTCCTATGCCCGAGAAATCTTACATCTAGAGAGGCGATCTAGAATATCCTATGGTAGTATCTAATCCGTTACGACATAGCATGATCTCCCTGGCTTGCCACCGCCAAGGGAGGTGGAATTTTCGATTGATTTGGTTCTGGGAACATAGCAAATGTTGGGAAAAATATTATAGATTTTGATGATGATGTGTTTATATTGTAATAGGGACTTTAGGTCTCCCCCAATATTCAATGTAATTTTTCTTTTTAGAAATATTGTTAAAACCGAGTTCTTGAGATATCCAATAAATTTGTGATATTTCACTTTGTGGTTTGATGTCAATGGTTGAAGACTTAATCAAATTCAGTGATATGGAAATTGGATATCTTGATCGGAAATGTAAGAGACAAGTAAGGAATTCTCAAAGCAATTGAAGATTCTCTAATCCGGAACACTACATGATAACCGGATGTCCTGCTACCACCCGCTGAAGGCTAAGTCATCCGAATCGGAAGACTAGTGCAGATCTCTTCTCACGTGGAAGTCTATGAATGACTTTTCCGGATTTGTCAGCAAAGAACCGGATATCTCAAAGAAACACCGGAATTCTCAAAAGCAGACAAGTGAGAAAAAGACATGGAAAATTATCTAAGTCTTGAATGAAGAAATTCTACCCGTTGGTAAGGAAAAATCAATCTCTTGATTTTCAACGGCTAGATTGAAGATAATTATGCTGGTTCAAGAACAAATGGCTTAAAGACAAAGTCTGGACTTCTCAAATTGAAGAGCTCGCCCAGAATTCCTAAACAAGCACTAGAAGACAAACTCAGTAAGGAGCTACAGTCCAGCATTGTTGAACAACCGCTAGAAGACGGATTCTATGAAAAAAGGAATCCCTCCTCAAACAATTGGGTATGTCCAAAACACCCATTCCAATAAGGAATCCTCAATCACAATCTTCATTAAAAATTGAAGCCAGCAAATGCAACGGATAGTCTATTTTGATTCAACGGATAGATTACCCAATCCAGCTATAAATAGCATCCTTGGAAGACTGCAAGAGAAGAGAACACAACGAAGCAATCTCAAACTACAAAGCTATCACATTCACAGTTAGCCCAAAAAGCTTGATAAAGAGAGATTTCTAAACTCCTTATCCAGAAGCAAACTTCTCCTCCTTCCAAAGAGCTATAGGATAAACACTTGAAGGTTTCCTTGCCTCAAGTACCACACCACGTTGAAGGATATAACTATTAATCAAACTTCTTGATTAAAAAGGGGGTACATCAACTTTCTTACAAGTTGATCTTGCAAGTCCTATTATTCGGATCTTGCAGTTGTTGAAGAAGCGTGACCTTCGAAGGAACAACAAAGCTAGCACGAGTGCAGTAGCAACATTGGCCTTGCGAAGATATACCGTGCAGAAATTCACACAAGTGTAATTGTTGGTTCATTATTCAACAACCAACTACATAGTGGATTTTGAGGACGTAGAAGGATTACCCCACCTTCGAACCTCGTTAAAGTTTGCGTGTCTCTCTCTTTTATCTTTACTCATACTTGCAATTATATTAACTGTGAAACTAACCCATCCATATTGATTACTGCTC